GAATGAATGAATGAATGAAGGAAGGAAGGAAAGAATGAATGAATGAATGAATGAAATGAAATGAAATGAAATGAAATGAAATGAAATGAAATGAAATGAAATGAAATGAAATGAAATGAAATGAAATGAATGAATGAATGAATGAAATGAATGACTCAAATGATGAATGAATGAAATGAAATGAATGAGTGAAATGAAATGAATGAATGGAATGGAATGTAACGAATGAAAGAATGAATGAATGAATGCATGAATGAGTGAATGAATGAATGAATGAATGAATGAAGGAAATGATCGCATGAATGAATGAATGAATGAATGAATGAAAAGAATGAACGAAGTGAATGAATGAATGAAGGAAAGAATGCATGAATGAATGAATGCATGAATGGATGAACGATGAGTGAATGAATGAGTGAGTGAACGAATGAATGAACAATTGAATGAGTGAATGAATGAATGAATGAATCAACGGAAGAATCAATGAATGCATGACTCAATGAATGAAGGAATGAATGAATGAATTTTTGAATGAGTGAGTGAATGAATGAATGGAAATGTAATGCATGAATGAATGAATGAATGAATGATTGAATGAAATGAAGTGAATGCATGAATGAATGAATGAATGGATGAAGAATGACTGAATGAATGAATGAATGAATGAATGAAGGAAGGAAAGAATGAATGAATGAATGAATGAAATGAAATGAAATGAAATGAAATGAAATGAAATGAAATGAAATGAAATGAAATGAATGAATGAATGAATGAAATGAATGACTCAAATGATGAATGAATGAAATGAAATGAATGAGTGAAATGAAACGAATGAACAAATGAACGAATGAACGGATGAACGAATGAATGAACGAACGAACGAATGAATGAATGAATGAATGAATGGATGAAATCAATGAATCAATTGAATGCATGAATGAATGAAGGAATGAATGAAATGAATGAATGAAACAGCGAATGAGCGGGTGAAGTGAAATGACATGAAAGGAGACGAAATCAAATGAAATGAAACGAATCAATGCATGATTGAAGGAAATGAATGAGAAAAGAAGGAAGCAAAATTAATGATTGAGTGAACAAATGGAATGACTGAATGAATGAATGGATTGACTGAAATGAAACGAAAGAATGCATGACCGGATGGATGTATGAACCGTGAATCAAAGAATGAAAGAAAGAAAGAAAGAATGAATGAATGAACGAATGGACTTGAATTGAACGGAATGGAATGGAATGGAATGGAGCGCAAGGAACAAATACATGAATGGAATGACTGAAATGACATGAATCAATGAAACGCAAGAAATGAACGAATGGAAATGCAATGCAACGCAATGAACTGAGCTGAACTGAACGAAGAAATGAAATGAATGAATGAATGAATGAATGAATGAAGGAAGGAAAGAAAGAATGAATGAATGAATGAAAGAATGAATGAATGAAACCAATGAATCAATTGAATGCATGAATGAATGAATGAAATGAAATGAAATGAAATGAAATGAAATGAAATGAAATGAATGAATGAATGAATGAATGAATGAATGAATGAAGAATGAATGAATCAATGAATGAATGAATGAATGAATGAATGAATGAATGAATGAATGAATGAATGAATGAATGAATGAATGAATGAATGAATGAATGAATGAATGAATGAATGAATGAATGAATGAATGAATGAATGAATGAATGAATGAATGAATGAATGAATGAATGAATGAAATGAAATGAAATGAAATGAAATGAAATGAATGAATGAATGAATGAATGAATGAATGAATGAATGAATGAATGAATGAATGAATGAATGAATGAATGAATGAATGAATGAATGAATGAATGAATGAATGAAATGAATGAATGAATGAATGAATGAATGAATGAATGAATGAATGAATGAATGAATGAATGAATGAATGAATGAATGAATGAATGAATGAATGAATGAATGAATGAATGAATGAATGAATGAATGAATGAATGAATGAATGAATGAATGAATGAAATCAGTGAACCAATTGAATGCATGGATGAATGAATGAAAGAAAGAATGAATGAATGAATGAATGAATGAATGAATGAATGAATGAATGAAATGAATGAATGAAATGAATGAATGGAAGGAAATGAAAGGACAGGAAAGGAAATGACATGAAATGAAATGAAATGGAATGAATGAATGAACGAACGAATGAATGAATGGAGTGACTGAGTGGATGAGTGAATGAATGAATGAACGAAGGAGTGAATGAATGGCAGGATGGATGGATGAATGACTGCATGAATGCATGGCTGACTGGCTGACGGACTGACTGACTGAGTGAATGCGTGAGTGAGCGATTGAGTGAGTGAAGGAATGAACCAATGAACAGCCAGCCAGCCAACCAATCAGTCAACCACTCAAGCAACCAATCAAGCAACTAAGCGCAACCAAGCAGCCAACCAAGCAACCAACCAACCAGCCAGCCAATCAACCAACCAAACACAACCAACCAACGAACCAACCAAACACAACCGAACAAACAAATTAGACAGGCAGGCAGTCGATCAAACAAACAACCAAAAAAAGAAACAAACAAAAAAGCAAACAAACAACCATCAAACGAACACCAAGCAACAGACAACCAGCAACAAATGTCACACAACCAACAACTGACAACAGCAACAACCGGACGCACTAGGCTAAAGGAGCGAATAAGAATGAAAGCCAATGAAAATGACGAAGCCGACAAAACCTGGCAATATCCGACAAACAGCGTCAACGAAATGCCAAGAAAGGTCAAAACGCAAAATGGCCCAAGAGGACAAGGTTGTTAATGTTCCGCTACAATCTGTTCCCCCCAAACTAATTTTGAGGAGTTGCGACTAGCAGGCCGCCCAGCGCGGCGAGAGGCCACGGTGGCTGAGGCGGAGGACGCAGATGATTCAGCTATGTCTAACGGGCTTGGTGACGCTTAAGGGAGTGCACGGCTGCATGCAGCTGAAGGGTTGCTTCCTTGAAGGGCAAGACCTTTCAGGGCTGTCTCGCCTGCGAGCTTAGACGCGCTTGACACAATGTTGTTTGTTGTGCCTGGCACGGTGGGTTTGTGCGAAGCTGTCGCACGCGGCGAGGGGCATGATTCTCTCTCACGCAAACGCTTGGCTGGCGCAAGTTTGCCTGCTTGGCATGCAGGCGGTTGCGCCTAGTGTCTCCCTGGGGCGGAAGCGTGTCGCCCGCCGCCGTTTGCGCGCGAGATCTGCGCAATTGCTTGTAGCTGTTGTTGCAGCCACGGCCGCGGATCAGGCAGATCCAAAACTGCAACATCGCATGGACGAAGTAGGCGGGCCCGCGTCCGTGCAAGAAAAGGTCTACCAGCGCTGCGCCTTTCACAGGAAAGCAAGGTCATTCTCAGTCAGTCAAGTCAGCTCACAGAAAAGCACGGCGAAGCTCCAGACTGGGCGGAGATCGTGCTTCAGCGCGAACAGGGGAAGACATGGGGCGCGAGGGCATGAACGTGTTAAAACATGTGGCTTTGTTGTTGTTCATGTGGGGGGGAGCTGTGCGCAGTTGGCAGTGCAAGAGAAGAACAGCCAGGGGTGCAATGGTGGCGTTCAGCGCGAGGTTGCTCAGTCAACGCAGCGTGCTGCTGTGGAAGTCAAGCGTGGCCTGCTGAAGGACAGCGAGGCGCCCGGCAAAGGCTTCTTGAGCAAGTCGAAGATGGTGCTCCAGTCGCAGAAGACTTGCGCGAGGCCACTTCCCACGCTGAAGTGGAGGCGCGGTCATCAACTGTGGGAAAGACCACCGCCACGCGGTCGCTCGCTGCGGCTGCGCCGGCGCATCGGTTTGGTTTCGGACTTTTCCAAGCCCCGTCGGCTTGTCAGGGCCTGGGGCTGCCTCGCGAGAAGCGCGCCAGAAACACAGCGACAGCGCTGGCAGTTCGAGGCGTTGAAGGTCGAGGCTGACCTGGGCTGCATGATGGGAACAAGCGCAGCGCAAGTGTGGTCACCGCGTGGCTATAGCGTCGCTGGGCACCATCGAGGAGAAGGATGGCTCACGGCGAGCGGTTCATGATGGCACTCATGGGGGTGAGGATAAACCCGGCCATTTGTGTGCGTGATGGATCAGCAGTGCTTGCAAGAGTCAAGAGCTTTTCCCGCAGTTGCCGCTGTGTTGCGCGCGCTCGCCAAACAGCGCAGTTGTGTTTTGGCTTCCCCGCTTGGGGGAGGACGCGTTGCGCAGATGGGGCGGATAACAAATGGCTTGATTTTAAGCCGCGTGCCAAACACGGGTGTTGACCTCTATGAAGCAATCAGGCCCACGCGGGGCGGCAAAGCCGCGGGGGCAGATGGCCAGCGACAAGGCGGAAGGCCTGCAGATCGCAAGGACTTGGGGCTTGCAGGTCGGGCTGCTCGCGTTCTGGGTGTCAGCGAGACGACTGACGCTTGCCCTCCTGTTTCGAAGGCTTGCGGGGTTCCCTCTGCGCTCAGGAGGCGAGCACAAATCCACAGCTTCAAGCAAGGTTTGCGCAAGCTTAAGTTGGGTTTCTGGTCTGTTGATCGCCCTTTTGTTGGATGTTGGCTTTCAGGCCACCTTGAGGGTTTGAGCGGCGATTCCCCCAAACGACCATGGGTACCTTTTCTCATTTAAGGGGTAATGTAATTTTTATAGTGGCTTCCGCAATGGTCATCCCATGTAAAGGACTCTTTGTTGACGTACCACGGAAGTTTCTTCTAAACTTCCTCAAATATCCATTCCTCTTTTTTGTTGGGGAGTGAGATGGGAGTTCGGTCCTGGCGCCGGTATCAAGAGGTTCCATTGGGTTGTTTTTCTGCCAAAAGCCCCCAGATGGCAAGGAGCCGCGCAGAATGGTTGTTTCGTTGTCGTCCCCCTTAGCCAGCCAAAGCTGGATCCTCTAGTCTTCCTTGTAGCAATGGCCCAAGTTTGGTTCCACGACAGAAGGCTTGTGCCCTCCGTTGCCATGGCCGTCGCTGAGGCTGCTGTGACGCCCCGGGGTGTGGGCGCTTTCTTGGGGCCCAGAGCCTCGAAGGCGCAGCGCTTCAGCCTGACTGGGCGGGGCAGCCTAGAGACCTGAAATCACGAGTGAGGGAGGGTCGCATATCCTCGGGGTGTTCTTTGATCGTGCGTATGCGTGATACCTTCTTAGGATTTACGGAGGAACGCCACATATCCCCCATTTGAGGGGTTCCCCGATTTGGGGCAACCAAAAGTTTGATGTTGAAAATGGGGTCACCCGTGTTTTCCCCCACCGGCCGTTTTTGAGGTGTAGCCCAATGAGAAATCGAAGCCCCGATGTTGGACAAAGCGTTTTGAGAAGTGGCTACTTAGGTTTCGTGTCTTCGCGTAGTGCAACGTGACATTCCTTATAGGGTTGTCATGCAGTGCGTGTAAACGTGGCTTGTCAAGTGTCCCTGCAGCATACTGTTAAAGATGCAGTGTTGGGACACGTCGGAGGACAAGGTTCTTTACCCGCGATCTAACCCTATCTCCAGATAATCTGACTCCAGGGTACAAAGCGGTTAAGAAGAAAACACAACGCGTCCCAGGGCTCCCCCCTGCGTCGCCGAATTCCCTTACGGGAATGTTAACTTTTGTGGGCCCCCTGCTTTCGCCAGTTTTGGAATAACTGGGCTGGCCTTGATCGGCTGGCCCCGCCAGCTAAGGTTTGCAGCCACCAGCAATAAGAAAACACAATGTTTGGGCAGCTTTTTAACTCCGTTTGGGTTCTGATTTGCCTACTGTGGAGCCCTTTTGGCTAGGAGTGTTTGGCCGGAATTGCAGTGATTCAAAAAAACAACTGACCTGCCTGGCACAATGTACTGTTGGGGCATTAGTTCTTGTCAATTGGGGCCTATTGTTGTCTACATGTCTGAAAGAGCGATAGATGTCTCGTCGATAAGCAAGTGCGCCATCGTTTGCGGGGCGTGGTGCGAGACCCCGTCGCGAAAAAACTCCGAACCGGATTGCACGGGCTTTAGACATTGAACACAGCTGCACATGCACGTCTCGAGCAGGTCAACGCAAACTCTTCACGAGTCCTTGAAACTAGATCCGAGACCCCTTGCTCCGATATAGTTTTCATGGTGGGCGACAAGAATACAATCTATTAGTGGCAACATCCTGGCGATCTCCGACAAATTGATTGAGTGAGCCCGAAATGTTGAGTGAGTCCGAAATCCCGATGTGTTTGGAGTTCGTCCGAAATCTCCACGCCGCGAGCGACGAAAATCGAACGAATCGCTTGAGTCCGTCCAAAATGGGCTGCGCTTTTTGAGTTAGTCCGGAAAGCCCCACAATCATACATGACCGTGTTTGGAGGCCACAGCGCGGGCAAAAGCCTCCAAGCGGCTTGTCCACACTCGCTGGCTTTTCTAAGGCATTTAGGCTTGCTGCCATGGTGTAAAGACAGGGTTGCTCTGAACAAGAACGGAACCGCTTGGATCTGTCGAGATTCAGGCCTTTGCTTTGATGGTTGGTTGCGTTGATCCATATCTTACCAGGACTGGCAAACAAGCTGCCCTCAGCCTTCGACGGGCTGCGAACCTGCATCAAAAAATAACATGAGCGATTTGTTCGCACCGCAAGCGTGTGTTAGGCATGTGCTGCTGCATTTCCAAACCAATATCAGAGTTCATTGGCGCTGATTACGGTTTATAATTCTGCCACTCGCGCGTGCCAATTGAGCGATCACATTTGACAGGGCGTGGTTTTGAGTGGCAACAATCAGTCAGTAGTAGTAGTGTATCAGACCAGGGTTAGTCCGAGCTTCCCGCAAACTTACCTGCTCAACGCAGGAGGGTTGTTCAAACAGATGCCTTTCTGGTTGACCCTTGTTTGACCTCTTTTGAAAGGGGAAGTAGGGGAATTGAAGGACACCCAGTGACACCCAGGACATATTTTAGACAACCCTGTCTCGACCACCTTTTCCGAGTCGCCCGTGCTTGGACGCTTGGCAGTGTTGCTATCTAGATGGTGCGCTTGCAGCAGTTTAGTATGTAAGCTATCAGATGTTAGACATCCTCCAATCTCAGTTGTAAGTTGGCGCAACTTCGCCAACTAAGACGGCAGCACTTACTATGTAGCCCTCGCTATGTTTACGGCAGACTTATGGGTGAACATAGCCATGTTCGACGGAGAGTTGGGCGAACTCCCCTGGGGCGAACTTACTATGTTGGCCCAGGCGTACTTAGCAAGTGCGCCAATTGTGGCACATGCACAAAAACAGCGCGTGCTAAGTTCGCTAAGTTCGCCCTGGCGAACTTAGTAAAGCCGCCAGGCGCACTTACCAAGTCCGCCGTCAAAGATAGCAAGCTTGCGTTTTTTTCGCGAAACGCACTTAGCGAAGTGCGCCGGGCAAGGCAGCGCACATAGCTATATCTGCCAAACAAAGTGAGATCACTAAGTCTGCTTTCACGTAGTAACACCGCCGAACATCCCAGTACCCCAAACATCTTAGGCCAAGGTTGGGGATGTTTATGAATTCTTGAACGGGAACCGTGAGGGATGTTTCAACCAGCGTCAAAGAGCTGAACGTGTTTGAAAAACATCCCGGCCTTGGCCGAGGCCCCGTTGTGGCATGCTGAGGTTTCAGTTGAGGATTGTTTCATGCTGGGCAAATGACATAGCTACCTCACAAAGGGTTTTGGTTACAAGCCTTGTGATGAAGGTGCCTATTGTGGAGAACCTTGATGTTCAGGTGGCATTGCTCTTCGGCAGTGGAGTAAAACTTGGCTGCTCCGAGACCTGAAATTCTTTGGGAGACAATCCCAGCACGGGATCTTTTGCCGGCCCCTGCCCCACAACGGGCTGCGTTCAGTTACGTTCTTGTTGCAGCAGCCCCAACACGATTGCCCTAAGCAGAAAGAGGCAACGATTTTGATGACGGAGTCCATTTAGATGACCACGCTGAACTTAAAGCTCCAAACGTCCCAGACCCAAAGAAGCAAAACCAGGCGCAAAGCACAACGTGAGAATCCTCCGAACGTTGTCCACGTAGCTCCGACTGGGTGCAGCGGCTTTGCATGGCAGCTTTGCATGATGTTCCTGTCCCCCTTCCCAAAGACACGGGTTGCTCTCGCAAATGCACGGAGTGAGCCCAAAAGAAGATTGTTTTCCCAACAGCAGTGTCCTCTCTGAAAGCATGGATCGGGTTTGCGGGCCCTTTTTCGCTTGCGCGCAAGAAATCGGGCCCCAAAAACGATCTTTGGGTCACGAGCGGCTGTTGAGTTTCCAAAACAATGGCCTAGGCTCGCACATTTGCCTCCGATCATCTCTGCGGCTTTTCGGGACTCCAAGGCGGCTTCCGGGTTGGCCCGCGACGTCCCTTCCGGAATTTCTTTGGATCCGTTCGGGTATGTCCCTGCGGGAAGCAAGCCCTTTCACACTCATGGATCACGCATGCTTTCTTCGGGAAAGGTAGTTGGGGAAAGCAGTCTTTAGCAAGCCCGTGGAGCCAAGACGAAAACGGCCCGTCGGCTTGGTGTTTGGGTTTGTCTGAACCCTCAACTCAGCGGTTCTTGTTTGGCTTTTTCTTTAAAGAAATAGGCTCGAGAGCTTGCCTGGCAGGAGCTCATTGTGGTGACCCGAGCTGGTCATCTCGCCACCTGCCCGGAGGTGTGACACGTTGAATCGATCAATGCCCTGCGTTTCTCAGATTGGGCGGCGTGCCACTTTGCAGGTTTGTGCCAGGTGCCATGGGGACATCCCCGGCAAATTGGGCGCCGCTTTGCGCTCGTGTTGCTTCTGTGGCTCTTTGAAAGCAAGTGAGCAACTGGCTTGCCATTTTACTTGCGCAAGTCACTGGTAGCCGCCGGACAGAACCCAAGCCCACGGCTGTCTTCAGTCGGTCTGTGGGAATCAAGAAGGCTTTGCCAGGCATAAGAGGCGTTGCAGGAGTTGTGGGAGTGCCGACGCCCAAGTATGTGTCTGCTAACGAGAGAAGAGCTACCCCAGATACTACCCCGCTGAAAAACATTGCGCATCGTGGGCGCAGATAGGGATAGAAGAAACTTCATGTCAACTAGACATGGGTTATCTTGTCATGCAATGAGATAGATTTGTGTAAAGTACAGGCTGTGCAATGGCCAGGACATGACCGTTGCAAGAAGCTGAACCGTTGTAAAACATGTTGCAGTTGTGTGAGTGAGACTACTCAAACATACCTAAATGCGACACCCTTCGCCTGCAACTTTGCTCATGGACAGTTATGCAATTGCGACATGGCTTGAGACTCACTGCTCCAGCCCACAGCCCCCCAGCCCCTGGGCTTCTGAGAGCCATGCGCAGGCATGCTGCCAGTCAGTTTTGTCTTCTAACAATCCTCGCAATTTGACCGGAACCCTTTCCAACAGCCACCCATTGCCAGCTTGCAGCTGCCAACGAGCATAGAATTACTCAATGCGTTCAGGCAAGCTGGGTGGCTGGGTGCTAAGATGCGGGGCTGGAGGGTCTCGACCACACATACGCATAGCATGCGTCGCAGGTATGTCTTTGACACATAGATGTATGAGTACACACACGTGTAGTAGAAGGAAGTTTAGCATGAATCTTGCAGTACTGGCGCATATTGAGCTTTGTTTTCTTTGAGGAATGTGTACACAGTGCCTGAACAAGCTAGGGCAAGAAAAGATGGAACACGCGAGAACTGAAGAATAGAAGGGAGCTGAAAGTCCTTTGGGGGGTCGACCTTGAGAACTTGATGACCTGCGTGTTTGTCACTTCGCTCGCGCGCCGGTCTGGGCTCTGTTTTTGGCGTTCTTCAGTTTGCGCAGCCATCAAATGGCGAACGCTCTGCGGACGTTTGCAAGGTCGAGCCTGAAAAGCTCATTTTTCATGTTTTCCACCAGAGCACCCAGCTAGCTACTGAAGGGGTAGCTAAGTAGCAGTTTAATTGTTCCACTGGCCAGCTCGCAAGTTAGCTGCCCCAATCGAGAACTATAACTACGTAACTGGCAAACTAGCTAGCCAGCTAATCAATTAGCTGTACTGGTTGCGCAGGGCGTATCCGCGTTATGTAGCTACAGTAGGTCCACGCAGGGTGTGCGAAAAAAGACCTTAGAAATTAGTCCGCGCGGACTGCAGACAGCGCTGGAGAAAAAAACGGCGTCCCCGCGCGCAAAAGCGGTTCAGACTTCCCCTACACATTTGTCTACACACATGTGTTTACACATGTTTACGCATATGTCCATTTTGATTATACATTTGTGAGGGTTTGGTGCACACATGAACACAACTGATGTAGCCACACACTTACACAACTACCTACCTATCTGCACGCTTCATGCATGCTATGCATACATACATATATGCTTTAATGTGTACATGCAGATGCGTGCGTGGATAGAGTACATCTACATAAATGCAAAGGGAGAAAGATGGAAAATAGCAAAGCTTTGTAGCCGAGCCGCCAGGCTCGGTGCCGCGAGCTGCAACGTCTGCCGCTGGCTCCGGGCGCTCAGCTCCGCGCTGCCACGGCCGCATGGCTAGGCCCAGGGTTCGGGCGGACTGCTTCAACCCAGAGCCACCCGTTTTACATCTCACCGCCGTTGGAGTGTTCCGCCGGGTTCTGGCTTCCGTCAAACTCACCAAGCTCAACTGCCTGGCCCCTTCGTAGGCGTTGACTCGCAGGCGCGATATTGGTAACAGAAAGCAAAAGCGTGCGTTTCTTCTAGTTGTTCTTGCTTTCTTCTGAGCTGTGCTGAACCATGTTGTTTCGCGAAGATGTAAGCGCCTGCTTGCGCGCAAGACACTTCCAGCGTCAAGCAGACACGTGTTTTTGTTGTACTCGTTCCGTGTGCGTTTCTAGTAGTTGTTCTTGCATTCTTCTGAGCTGTGCTGAGTCATGTTGTTTCGCGAAGATGTAAGCGCTTGCTTGAGCGCAAGACACTCGCAGCCTCAAGCAGACATGTGCTGTTCTTGTACTTGCCCCGCCTGCGTTTCTAGTAGTTGTTCTTGCCTGCTTCTGCGCTGCACTGAAACATGTTGTTTCGCGAAGATGAAAGCGCCTGCTTGAGCGCAAGAAAGTCGCGCATCAAGCAGACACGTGCCTTTTTTGCGCTTGTTCCGCACGCGTTTCTAGTAGTTGTTCTTGCGTGCTTCTGCGCTGTGCCGCAACATGTTTTTCCAGAAACGTGATTTTATTGTACTTCTTCCGCGTGCGTTTCTAGTAGTTGCTCTTGAGTGCCTTCTGCGCCGTGCTGAATTATGTTGCTTCGCGAAGTTGTAAGCGCCTGCTTTGCGCGCAAGACACTGGCAGCATCAAGCAGACAAATGCTTTTCTTGAACTTGCCCCGCGTACGTTTCTAGTAGTTGTTCCTGCGTGCTTCTGCGCTGTGCTGAAACATGTTGTTTCGCGAAGATGTAGGCGCCTGCTTGCACGCAAGTCAGTGGCAGCATCAAGCAGGCACGTGCTTTTCTTGTCCTTTCCGCGTGCTTTTCTAGCAGTTTTTCTTTTGTGCTTTTACGCTTTGCTGAAACAAGTTGTTTCGCGAACATGTAGACGCAGCAGACACGTACTCTTCTTGTACTTTGTTCCGCGTGCGTTTCTAGTAGTTGTTCTTGCGTGCTTCTGCGCAGCGCTGAAACAAGTTGTTTCGCGAAGATGTAAGCGCCTGCTTGCGCGCAAGACACTGGAAGCGTCAAGCAGGCACGTGCTTTGCTTGTACTTGTTCCGCGTGCGTTTCTGTAGTTGTTCTTGCATGCTTCTGCGCTGTGCTGAAGCATGTTGTTTCGCGAAGATGTAAGCGCCTGCTTGAGCTCCAAGACACTGGCACTGGCAGCATCGAGCAGACAGCGCGTGCGTTTCTAGTAGTTGTTTTTGCATGCGTCTGCGCTGGAATGAATTTTGTCGTTTCGCGAAGATGTAAGCGCTTCTTGCGCGCAAGACACTGGCAGCGTCAAGCCGACACGTGCTTTGCTTGTACTTGCTCCGCGTACGTTTCTAGTAGTTGTTCTTGCGCGCTTCTGCGCTGTGCTGAGACATGTTGTTTCGGCAAGATGCAAGCGCCTGCTTGCGCGCAAGACACGGGAGCATCAAGCAAGCACGTGCTGTTCTTGTACTTGCCCCGCGTGTGTTTCTAGTAGTTGTTCTTGCCTGCTTCTGCGCTGCACTGAAACATGTTGCGTCGCGAAGATGAAAGCGCCTGCTTGCGCGCAAGACACTGGGAGCATCAAGCACACACTTGCTGTTCTTGCACTTGCTCCGCGTGTGTTTCTAGTAGTTCTTCTCGCGTGCTTCTGCGCTGTTGTTTCGCGAAGATGTAAGCGTCTGCTTGAGGGCAAGACATTGGGAGCATCCAGCAGGCACCGCGTGCGTTGCTAGTAGTTGTTCTTGCATGCTTCTGCGCGGGGCTCAAACATGTCGTTGCGTGAAGATGCCAGCGCCTGCTTGCGCGCAAGACACTGGCAGCGTCAGACAAAGAAGTGCTTTTCTTGCCTTTCCCGCGTGCGTTTCTAGTAGTTGTTCTTGCTTGCCCTTGCGCTGTGCTGTAACATGTTGTTTCGCGAAGAGGTAAGCGCCTGCTTGAGCGCAAGACAGTCGCGCATCAAGCAGACACGTGCTGTTCTTGTACTTGTTCCGCACGCGTTTCTAGTAGGTGTTCTTGCATGCTTCTGCGCTGTGCCGAAACATGTTGTGCGAAGATGTAAGGGCCTTCTTGAGCGCAAGACACTGGCAGCGTCAAGCAGACACGTGCTTTGCTTGCACTTGCTCCGCGTGCGTTTCTAGTAGTTGTTCTTGCGCGCTTCTGCGCTGCGCTGAAATATGTTGTTTCGCGAAGATGAAAACCGCCTGCTTGCGCGCAAGACACTGGGAGCATCAAGCAAACACGTGCTGTTCTTGCGCTTTCCCCGCGTGTGTTTCTAGCAGTTGTTCTTGCATGCTTCTGCGCTGTGCTGAAACATGTTGTTGCGCGAAGATGTAGGCGCCGGCTTGAGCGCAAGACACTTGCAGCATCAAGCAGGCGCGTGCTTTTCTTGTCTCGTTCCGTGTGCGTGTCTAGTAGTTGTTCTTTCATGCATCTGCGCTCTGCTGAAACATGTTGTTTCGCGAAGATGTAAGCGCCTGCTTGCGCGCGAGACACTCGCCGCATTGGGCAGACGTGCTGTTCTTGTACTTGTTCCGCGTGCGTTTCTGTATTTGTTCTTCCTGAGACGTATTGTGTCCTTGCGCGCAAGACACTGGCAGCATCAGGCAGACACGTGCTTTTCTTGCTTTTTTCCGCGTGCGTTTCTATTAGTTGTTCTTGCGCGCTTCCGCGCTGCGCTGAAACATGTTCTCGCGCGAAGATGTAAGCGCCAGCTTGCGTGCAACACACTCGCAGCATCACGCAGACACGTGAATTTCTTGTACTTGTTCCGTGTGCGTTTCTAGTAGTTGTTCTTGCGTGCTTCTGCGCTGTGCTGTAACAACTTGTTTCGCGAAGATGTAGGCGCCTGCTTGCGCGCAAGACACGCAGCATCAAGGAGACACGTGCGTTTCGAGTAGTTGTTCTTGCCTGCTTCCGCGCTGCACTGAAACATGTTGTTTCGCGAAGATGTAAGCGCCTGCTTGTGCGCAAGATGCGCGCAAGACGTTGGCAGCATCAGGCAGACACGTGCTGTTCTTGTACTTTTTCGTGTTCTTTTTTAGCAGTTTTTCTTTCGCGCTTCTACGCTTTGCTGAAGCATGCTGTCTCGCGAAGATGTAAGCGCCTGCTTGCGCGCAGACACTTGCAGCATCAAGCAGAGGTGCTTTTCTTGTACCTGTTCCGTGTGCGTTTCTAGTAGTTGTTCACAGTGTCCTTCTGTGCTGCGCTGAATCATGTTGTTGCGCGAAGATGTAAGCGCCTGCTTGCGCGCAAGACGCTTGCAGCGTCAAGCAGACACTTGCTGTTCTTGCACTTGTTCCGCGTGTGTTCTGGTAGTTGTTCTTGCATGCTTCTGCGCTGTGCTGAAGCATGTTGTTTCGCGAAGATGTAAGCGCCTGCTTGAGCGCAAGACACTGGCACTGGCAGCATCGAGCAGACAGCGCGTGCGTTTCTAGTAGTTGTTTTTGCATGCGTCTGCGCTGGGCTGAATGATGTCGTTTCGCGAAGATGTAAGCGCTTCTTGAGCGCAAGACACTGGCAGCGTCAAGCAGACACGTGCTTTGCTTGTACTTGCTCCGCGTGCGTTTCTAGTAGTTGTTCTTGCGCGCTTCTGCGCTGTGCTGAGACATGTTGTTTCGGCAAGATGCAAGCGCCTGCTTGCGCGCAAGACACTGGGAGCATCAAGCAAGCACGTGCTGTTCTTGTACTTTCCCCGCGTGTGTTTCTAGTAGTTGTTCTCGCGTGCTTCCGCTGTGCTGAAACATGTGTTTGCGCGACTATTAAAGCGAGTGCTTGCAAGAAGCTTGCGGCATCAAGCAGACACGCGCTGTTGTCGTACTTGCTCCACCAGCCTTCCTAGTAGTTGTTCTTGCGTGCTGCTGCGCTGTGCTGAAACATGTTGTTTCGAGAAGATGTACGCGCCTGCCTGAGCGCAAGACACTGGGAGCATCAAGCAGACACCGCGTGCGTTGCTAGTAGTTGTTCTTGCATGCTACTGTGCGGGCCTGAAACATGTCGTTGCGCGTGGATGCAAGCGCCTGCTTGCATGCAAGACACTGGCAGCATCAAGCAAACAAGTGCTTGTCTTGCCTGCCCGCGTGCGTTTCTAGTAGTTGTTCTTGCTTGCTTTTGCGCTGTGCTAAAACATGTGTTTGCGCGACTATTTAAGCGACTGCTTGTGCACAAGAAGCTTGCGGCATCAAGCAGACACGCGCCTTTCTTGTACTTGCTCCACCCGCCTTCCTAGTAGTTGTTCTTGCGTGCTTCTGCGCTGCGCTGAAACATGTTGTTTCGCGAAGATGCAAGCGCCTGCTTGCGCACAAGACAATGGGAGCATCAAGCAAACATGTGCTGTCTTGCACTTGCCCCGCGTGTGTTTCTAGTAGTTGTTCTTGCGCGCTTCTGCGCTGTCCCGAGACATGTTGAGACACTCGCAGCATTAAGCAGACGCGGTTTTCTTGTACTCGTTCCGTGTGCGTTTCTAGTAGTTGTTCTTGCCTGCTTCTGTGCTGCACTGAAACATGTTGTTTCGCGAAGATGAAAGCGCCTGCTTGCGCGCAAGACACTGGGAGCATCAAGCAAACACGTGCTGTTCTTGTACCTGCCCCGCGTGTGTTTCTAGTAGTTGTTCTCGCGTGCTTCTGCGCTGTGCTGAAACATGTGCTTGCGCGATTATTTATGCGACTGCTTGTGCGCAAGATGCTTGCAGCATCAAGCAGACAGGCGCTTTTCCTTCCTAGTAGTTGTTCTTGCGTGCTTCTGCGCTGCGCTGTAACATGTTGTTTCGCGAAGATGCAAGCGCTTGCTTGCGCGCGAGACGCAGCATTAAGCAGACATGCTGTTCTTGTACTTTTTCCGCGAGCTTTTCTAGTAGTTGTTCTCGCGTGCTTCTTCGCTTTGCGGAAATATCTTGTTGCGCGA